CCCCCCCCCCGCTCTGGCAGCCACAGACAGAGCACAGTGTCTTGAGGCATTCTCAGACCACTTCCTCCTCCACCCCCAACATTAGGGTGCCTAGGCAACTGCCTATGAACCCCAGGCCCACAGGGCAACCCCCATATTACACACAATATAGAAAGTTTCATGCAACAGTCTTTACTGTCCTCCCCAATGACAGTTTCCTTCCCCAACAACAGACTCCTTCCCACCCTTCCTCCCCAATAACAGACCCCATCCCTAACCCCACTCCCTACTACCTTTTATTTACACCCTCTTCCCCATGTAACTATGTACAGTGTGACATATCCCCCCCTGTAGGGGGAGAGGGGGCAGTGGGGTGGAGATGTTTACAGGGCAGGCCCAAAGGGACCACAGCCTCTGGCCACACCACAACAGGTGTGGACACTGTGGCAAGGCCAGTGAGCTGGGGCTGAGGCCAGGGATGAGGGCAGCCACTGTTCAGACTGTGCAGCCTGATCCCTTTCCTCCACCATGAACCAGATCCAGCACAGCCTGCTTTCAGTGCCAGGCCCACTGCAGCCAGCTCCCACTCAGGGACCGCACCGCACTTGGGTGAATGGTGGAGGGGGGGGGGGGGGGGCGCCCCAAGTGAGGGGTCTGGCTGCCATGGGACCCAGTTTAGGAGTGTGGGCAGAGGGCTCTGGATGCTGCAGGTGATGCTGCACTTTGTCCCACATCCACTGGAGGCCCTAGTGTTGAGCTACAGGAGGCTGCCAGGGAGCAGGCAGGGCTGGGGCCAAGGGCTGGGCCATGGGTGGCTGCCAGGTGGTAGATGAGGTTGAGGCCAGGGGCTGGGCCACAGGCTGTATGAAGATACATACCAGGTATCTTCCAGATACATACCAGATACATACATGCCATGTGCTGGACACCAGGGCCAGGATGGTGTCCAGCACATGGCAGTCCTCCTCCATGGCTTCCACTGCCTGGGCCACCATGGTGGCCTGCAGCTCCTGGGCATCCAGCATCCTCTCGAGGAGGGCAATGTATCTCTCCTCAAGGGTGAGGAGCCTATCCCAGTTTTCCCAGTCCCACAGTCTACCTGGTTCCTCTCCCACTCTTGCTCCATGTCCTGGAAGTGGCAGGCCCATGAGTCCTCCAACTGCTCCTCTGCCAGAGTGACCAACTGGTCCAGCATGAGGGTTCAGTCTTGCATATGCTCCTGGCGGAGGTGATGCATATGGAGGGCTTCAGCTGATGGTGACTGAATCCTTAAGGGTACATCCCCAGCAGTGGCTCATGCTTCTCCCTTGTGTGCAGCTACTGGACCTGCAGATCCAGGAGAGAGAGGCTCTTTATGAGAGTTTGCAACATTTCAGAGATATCATGCACTGTACCAAGGGGCTGTGCACTGCTTGGCCTCAGATCAGGGATCATGCACACACAGGTACTTAGGGACCATGGTAACTTGGCCAGGCAGTCCCTGCCACAAGTGCTACTGGCCAAGCCCTCCATCCCCACTGCCTCCATGGGGGCAGGTGGCCTGCTTGACGTTTGCTGCAGGAAGCCTGCTTTCCCTGTCCCCCTACCTAGGCTGGGCTAAAGCTGGCTGATGCCAGCAGCTGCAGCAGCAGCAGCATAGATTTCATAGATTTAATAGACTTTAGGGTCTGAATGGACCCTCATCGAGTCCAGCCCCCTGTCCTGGGCAGTAAAAAGTGATGGGGTCAGATGACCCCAGCCAGGTGTCTGTCCAATCACCTCTTAAATATCTCCAAGGAAGGGTATAGCACCACCTCCCTTACAATTGTATTCCATATTTTGGCAACCCTCACTGTAAAGAAATTTTTTCCTGATGTCCAGTCTAAGTTTTCTCTTCTCAGTTTGTGGCCATTGTTTCTAGTTACCTTGATGGGTGCCCTGGTAAACAGAGTATCACCTATTTCCTGCTGTCCCTCCCCCGATGAGTTTGTAGACTGCCACAAGATCACCTCTCAGCCTTTTCTTCTGGAGGCTGAAGAGATTCAGGTCCCTCAATCGGTCGTCATAGGGTTTTTCCTGTAGGCATTTAACCATATGGGTGGCCCTCCTCTGAACCCTTTCCAGTTTATCTGCATCCCTCTTGAAGTACGGCACCCAAAACTAGATGCAGTACTCCAGCTGTAGGATGACCAATGCCACATAGAGGGGAAGTATCACCTCCTTAAACCTGTTTGTGATGAACCTAGTTATGCAAGAAAGAGTGCGGTTAGCTTTATTTATTACTTAATCATATTGGTGACTCATGTTCATTTTGGAGTCAACTATGACTCCAAGATCCCTTTCTGCAGAAGTGCTACTTAGAATGGCACCTCCCAGGCTATAGGTGCGATGATGATTCTTCCTACCTAGGTGCAACACATGGCACCGGTTGCACCCAGTTCTTATAAATAAATAAATAAAGCTAATACATTAGTTTATTTACACTTACTATAGGTGTGTTGATGATTCTCCCTCCCTAATACAACACACGTTCTGCCAAGGGAATATATAACCAGAAAAAGTTAATGATGGACTATTGTTCCTTTTTGGGGAATGCAAAGCAGACTTTCTTAGCAATGATGGATACTCAATAAGGCATTCCATCTTATAAAAATTGGTCCTAATAGCTTCCTTACTTCAACCAAAATTCATAAGCTGTATAGTTAGAGAGTCCCTCAAATTGTCACAGGTTCCAGAACCAATCCTGTAACTTCTCCCACTGCGCATCTCATACGATACACACCCATGAGAATCTTCCATGAGGCCCCAGTCAAAATGCAGTGCAGTTTGGGGAAGGCCCAAAGACTTTGTATCAGGTAGTTTTAGTTGTTCCTAGGGTATTTTTTTGTTTGAATTTGAAATTTGCTTCCTTAACACCCCTCCCCATCCCCCCCCAAATCTGCATGGGTAAATTTACTTCTCTCCATATTAAGAAGCTCTGTTATTAGAAAATAGCTTCCAGGAAAGGTCTAGGAGAATATCATATATAGTGGACATGTGTACACAAGATGCTAACTGTCAAGTTGGTACTTAGGACTTGTATAAACAGTACTCCACTTACTGCACGGTAATTTGTATAAACAGTAATTCCAGTTATTGCGCAATCATTTAGTACTGGTATAAACAAGTACTGAATGACTGTGCAGTAACCAGAGTTGCTACACAATAGCATCACTGAACAGCTTTTTCATGATGCTGACTGTTCAGTAGTCATGTCACATTTTCTTCCATGTGATGCTATGTGCAGTAGTCATGGGCTACTGCGCAGCCAGCATCTCATGTAGACATGACCAGTGTGACATAAATTCTGTTCCTGAAATTACATACCCATTGTCCTTCCAATTTGCTTCAGCTTGTTGGGGGGTGGGGATGGGATGGGATGGGGTGGGATGGGATGGGATGGGATGGGCAGAACACACATTCAAAAATCAGTCAGATGCCTATACCAATACATAATTATTTGCTGCAAGCCAGACTGACTAGTCACTGCCATGTCAGTGGAGAATATCTCTTGGAGCTCTGATTTAACAGGAATGTAATTTATCTCTTAGGTCAACAAAATAAGGTCAGAGTGACCTACAGTTTCATGTCAGGGAGAGCTTCAAATTGTAGACAGAATGTGCAATTCCACATTTAATGAATAATAGAAATGATCAGCAAAAATACCTCAGCAGGTGCACATCTGTGTTTTCTTTAAAGGCATGTCGCTAAGATAAAATCAGTGGGCCCAATTTCCTACTGTCTCATGTGATATGTGGTTATTGAGTGTTTATATAGGAACATAGAACTGGGTCATTGAGTCCAGTTCTCTGCAATGACAGGCAACCATAAAATAAACATTTTTCAAAAGTACCACATACATTTTCCGCAGACAGCCAGAAAACCTCCCTTAAAACTTAGGAGCTTTGGTGTAAATAAGAAAAACCTTACAACATTCCATTGGACAAGAGCTAGGGAGACAACGACCCCAGCAATGCCGAAGTGGATATGAAACCACTAAGGAATCAGAATTCTCCACTCATTCACATAATTTACAGTTCACATGTGCTTTGTTTATGCACTAAGAGTGCTTGCACATGTGATGGTGGGGCCATGTACGCATGACAAAAAGTGACGTGAAATTGTCATTTGTCTAACAAAATGGCATCATGTGCATGATATTTTTTGTGTTAAAAATCCACCTTGGATGTAGTGTAGTTTAATTAGAGTAAGTTATTCCATTGTGGGTAAAATAATCATGCACATGTACATGTCTGGAAGCTGGAGAAGGTGGCATGGATGGTGCACAGGGTGCTGGAAGCTCAGGCAGGCTCGCGGAAGCTCGGGCTTGGCAGGCTTCCAGCTCCTTGTGCACCAGCTCTGTCACCGTCTCTGGCTGCCAGCACACACAGCCACTTTTCTGCACTGCCCCAGGGGCAAGCCAGCCCTTTCCCAGGTGGTTCCAGGCAGTGGAAAGGTGGCAGGGACAGTGCACAGGGTGTTAGAAGCCCACTAACGCTAAGCTTCCCAGAGCACACCTGGGTTTCCAGTGCCCCATGAACCATTGGATCAGGCTAGCTAGCACCTGCCCAGCTAGCACCTTGTCTGGCCCCAGGGGGCGCCGGCAGGGGAGGGAAGCTCCAGGCCCTCGCACAGGCTAGAGGCTGCATGACCTGGTGGTAGCTCATGCAGGGTGCAGGCAGGCTTTGCTGGGGGGAGGGAGGGGCAGGGAAGTGGCAACACTGATCCTTTTTTTTTCCTTCATGGAGCTTACTTGCCTCTTGTATGGTATGGGGCAAGCTGCCAGCAGGCCCTGAGCTGCAGGGGGCCCTGGATCTTCCCTTCATGGGGTTGGTGCCCCCTGGGGCCATTCAGGCAGGATACTAGCAGGCAGGTGTTGCCCGGGGGGCATGGAAGGAAGGACTGGGGTCCCCCACGGCTCTGGCAGCTTTCCCCTTGGCCATGTCAAAGGTGGGCAGGCTCCATGAGGGGGTGGGGAGAGGGAGGATCAGTCTCCCTGCTTTTTTTTTTCAGGTGGAGCCTACACATGGCAGGGTGGGGAGCGGGCAGTGAGCTGATGGTGGGCCATTACTGTTCTGTGACAGTGATGGAAGCCCTTAAATTGAAACAATGGGTCACAATTAAAAGCCCACCATTTCAATTTAGTGGAACTAAACCTCCCTCATGTGTACAAGAGCCCTAATGCTCTTGTTCACACAAGAAAACTTGTTTTCAGCTAGAGGGTTGAAAGTTTTCAAGCACCTGTGCAAATGAAAATCAGTCTGTATGAATATTTGCATCAGGTGAAAATAATGGGCATAAGTATGGTTCAACAGAGCATCTGTTCACAATTACAAGTATGTCTTTGTGATACTGGCCAATTACAATTGATAAAAACCTATCATCAAATTCATATACTTTCCAAAAATCCTCCCTGATAAACAAAGTAGTTATCGAGTACTGTCCAGTCAAGGCTGAACTATGGACGTGATTGTAAAAAATAATAGCTAATGCCCTGATCCCATAAAAATGTGGTTAATTTTGCACATCAAATTTAAAGGAATGGCTACCATATATAAACCTAAGCATGGGCATTAATTTGTGTAGGTTGAGAGCATAAAGTTCTTTCTTAGCAAGTTATCAGAATTAGAGCTGGCAGGAAAATAGTTTTCTTTTCCCATGAAAATTGTTGAGCCCAAATAATTTCCATCTGGAAATGGGAAAATAAGAATCTTGAAAATTTTGCGAATGCAAAATCTAAAAACCACTTCAGGTCACTTGAAATGTTTTGTGTTTGTAATGTCAGAACATTGAATTTTGATTTAAATTATTTTTAAAAACTTAAATTACAATTTTACTATAATCAGCCACATTTTTTAAACAAGAATTTATTTGGAACCAGAAAGCCAGATACTTTGGTTTGACTTTGAAAATATGAAAATTAAACATTCTGAGAATTGCCTTTTACTTGTTTCACTTCAAAGGCTTTTCTCTGTGTAATATTTGTAAAACTGCAGCACATGCTATAGCTAATTATTAAATTTTAAATGGAAAAAACAAACAAACATTCTCACTGATATTTAGTGATGGGAGAAGTGAAATGCACTCACCTAAGAAGAAAAACAATGTTCTCTTAAATATGACATTGATGTACAGAAGTGATTCACAAACTTTTTAGACATAGGGCACCCTTCATTAGACTTAGCTTTTATGACTTGAGTGCCACCCAAGTTTTTCTCAAATTAACCTATTTATTACAGTGATTGCCTTCTTGCAGAGGGGCTAGGCAATGCAGGTGGGGGATCAGCCAGAGAGGGATAAAGACTTAA